TTTCTGAATTAAAATCAAAGGACAAACTTGTAACAGCTCACTTGCATTTCTTAAGCAGCATCCACTAATCGCATATGGTTTGGCACTTGTATGCAGCTGGGGGCTCCCCTTGATCAGCACGAATCAGCTCATGAAAACTGCTGCTTCCCCTACCCGTCTGTGAGCATGTGTCTGTCTCAAAGGAAAAATGAGTAGCAGTGGTGAGCTCCCTTTATCACAGCACTGGAGCTACTATAAAAAGCTGTGGCGATCTCGGAGCTAAAGAGACAAGTGCTGCGGCTGCGAGGACAGCCAGGCTCCTGTGGCGGGAGGAGCTCCTCGGTGCGGTCCTCAAGCCTGCGCTACACGTAGAGACAACTTGGCAATGCACAGAGTGCCTGCGTGCACGAAGACATGACTGGCTGAACGTCCTGCTTTTACATATCCTGCCATGGGGAGCAGCGGGTGCAGCTCCTGGGCTCCTGCCCACCCAGGGAGCCCTCTGCTCCCTGCCCGCAAAGAGTGAGTCCTAAAGAGGAGGGAAATGGGCTTGGAGAAGGGAAAAGCCCTATCTCCTGCACCGTGGCATCAGAGTTGAGAGACACTGCTGCTATTCTGAGAAAAAAATGTGTTGAATAGTGGCCTTCTGGCTGTCACTATTATTGTGCAAGCCAGGGTTCCCCCAAAGAGCACAAGCTGCTGCCGAGGCGGGAACGCTCTGCCCCGCTGCAGCAAACTCTGCTGCAAGGGAGAAGGACGATGTTTGAGGGCCCTGAAACACTATGTGAGGATTTCTGTGCTGTGTAGAGGCTGACACGTCCCCCAGCCTAAAGGATGTGCAATACAAATGCACCAGTTTTCTTTCAGAGGTGCCTGTGTTTTCACTTAGCTTCCAACTGTGCAGTGTCCTACAGATTGATTTCTGGGGTCCCATCAAGAGGTCTAGCATTGAACCAACATCTTTCATTCTTCAACAGCCTTGGTAGCTATACTAGTGCATGGAGTAGAGCAATAGCTCTACTTGTAGCAAGAGCATTTTTGTCCAAAAGGTCTTATAAACGACAGTGAAGTAATCAGTAATGACAAGTGCCATTATGGATACTCTTTAAGCAGACAGTAAATTATCAAACATGATTGTGTGTCTAAAATCAAAACAAATCCCTTAACTGTATGGGCAAAATTCTTCAGGAATTTCATGCACAACCCATACAAAAAACAGGACTGCTGGAAGTAGCTACTGCTTGCTTACAAGTGAAACCACATCAATATGACCAACCATGTCAGTTGTCTTGTGTATTAGCTAATAGCTGCTGTCTACAGCCTTTAAATGAAACAATTTGCCTAGATTTTTTTTCACTGAGCAGTACAACTGATTCCCAATTTTTGAGGAAACAGCTTTAATCCTAATCTGATGCCTCAAGCTATGAGGCAGTACTTAGGCTCACATTGAGCAGAAGACATCCACATGCTTCCCCAGCCGGGGAAGGTTCTGTTGCACCTGAAATGTTGTCAAAGTAAAACCTTCAGATCCTGTGAGCACCACAAAAAAAAAAAAAAAGAAAAGTCCCATTAAAGTCCCATTAAGATACCACGCATTGTTTTCTACTCTGTACCAATATTGCCACTATCAACAAGAGTATAAGTGGCTCTCCTGCAGTTGGTTTGAGATGCTTCTTGTGCAAACATGACTGGTCAGTGGAAAGAGGCAGGGCATTTGTCTTCCG